AGTTGCAGACAGATGTGAACTGCCTGCCGTGAGGGTGCTGGGAATTGAACCCTGGATTCTCTGGAAGAGCAGCTAGTGCTCTTTACCTCTGACTCATCTCTCTGGTCCTCTGTTTACTTTTTATAGTAAACATTTTCCTAAGACTCCTTTCATATCCTTACAGCAAGTTCCTATGTAAGTTTGTGGGGCTGGAAGATGGCTGGGTTGATAAAGTGCCTGATACTCAAACATGAAGAGTTTGGTGTTCCAGCCCCGATGTGAGCAGCCAGGCACAGCAGCGTGCATCTGTGACGACAGAGTCTACGTGGTGGTCGTGCCGGCACCAAGGCTCCTGCAGCCCATGGCCTGCCGAGCTCAGTCAGTGAGGCTGAGGGTTAGTGAGAAGCCTTGCCTCACAAAGTAAGGTGGAAACTGAGTCAGGAAAGTACCTGACACTGGCTTCTGGTCTCCACATGCACAAACATGCATGGCCACTCCCCCCACACACATACACACACACACACTATATATATATATTTGTACATATACACACACATATATAATTTCATATTTTTTTAACAAATCTATATGGCATAAATGTAAATGAAAATAATTTGCAATGTTTTAAGATGTAACTATTCGAGCATTATTGTTATGTTTATGTTTGCACCATATGTGGAATCACTGAACATATAGCAACAAAGACAGTTAATATACAGCTGTGCTGTAATTGGCAGCTCATAAATTTTAAACTCAGCAATGATTTTCCTAAATGTTAAACATCTGTCTATAAAGTGAAAACCTACAAGCTGTTTTTGTTATATCCCTGAAAAATTTAGTGTTTATTAAACTGTTCAGAAAGCACTTTCTCATATAAACGAAGTTAATTTTTAGGCTCTAGTGATTGTAATCAGGTTTCCTCAGTGTCATGTGGGGCGTTACAATCATGTGACACGGGTCAGTTTGTTCTGTGGCATGTTCTTAACAGGGGTTGGCCCTACTTCCTGTCCTTGGATAGTCCATAAGCTGAGAGTGCTTTTTATATTTTCAGTTGTTCAAAAATAAGAAGAAAACTGAAACAAAGCTTACTAAGACTTTTCTTGAATTAAATGAAAACTGATACTAAATGAGAATTCATGACTTTGAATTCAGTTCAAAGTCAATTCCTTATTTTCCAATTGTGTTAAAATTTGGATGAATTGACTGTTTTTCAGGATGTTGATTGAAATCCAACCAAAATAACTTTTATGTCATAAGGCACAGTTATATCAGATAGGTTTTGTTTTTTAAAGACATCTTGTCCTGGAATTCACTATGTAGCTGCTAATCCATGGGACTGTTTTTACAGGTGTGCGTCACCACACGTATCTCAGAATAGATATCTCTTGGTATCATGAGGAAAATGATACAGACCATCTATGTTGTAAAGCAAGATGCCAATAGAAATATTTAACTTAATTGTAGTATATATACAAAGTAACTCCCCCCTCCACTGGGGGACTTGCCATGGCTGTCCTAGAAGTTGTTGTACAAACAGGCCAGACTTACTTTTGACTATTTACCTGCCTCTACCTCCTCAGTGCTGGGATTATAGCCATGAGCCACCAAGGCTAGGCTTTAAAGTAATACTCCTGTTTCGAGTCACAGCTAGAGATTTTGGATCTGCTGTCTGGTAAATAGGTGGTAAATGGGTTGAATTGTAACGTGAAACATAATCTGTCAGAAAGTTTTGATGTTTGCCACACAGTTTTTATATTAATAGAGAAGTGAAAAGCAGCACGCCTCTAGCTGTCCTGCCCGGCAGCACCCTTTGCTCTTACTGCTGGTGTCCTATTTGGTGACAACTTGAGGGTCCAACTGGTAGGACTATGGTATAAGTTATTTGAATAGTTGTGGTTTGGATAAGAAATGTCCTCCAGGCTCAGGTATTTGAACCCCAGTTGGTGGTACTGTTTGGGGAGGCATAAGCTGTCACTGGAGGTAGGCTGGGAGAGTATACCGCTTTGCCTTACTTCCAGTTCACTCTCTCTGCCTTGTCCTTGTAGATGAGAGGCTGTCTTTCAGCCTCCTGCTCCTGCTATATGTCTTCCTGGCATGACAGACTGCTACTTCTCTAGATCTATAAGACGAAATAAATTCGCCCTTCTATAAGTTGCTTTTGGTTCTGGTGTTTTATCAAAGCAACAGGAAAGTAATGGAATGTTTTGGCGTGTGCAGTTGGAAGGTTGCTGAGATAGCATACACAACTGAAAGAAGACCTGCAAGAACCGGAACCCTGGGTGCCATCAGATACAGAGCCACACGACAGAGTACCGTTTCATCTCTGCTGAATCTCACCATCTTTCCTTACCCTTCTCTTCTTTCCGTTTACGCCCCTCCTCCTCTTCTTCTTTTCAACTTTGTGCCAAAAAGTTCAAGAAACTGGATGTGCACAATCCCAGTCTCACATCCTTCTGGCACTAAATCCCCAGGGCAAGGCCATTTGTCCCCCCGTTGTGAGTGGGAAACTGACCTAGACCCCCGTGCACAGAGAGGAGGGCACTGATCTGGTCTGATGCTCCCGCCAGCAGCCTTGTGGCCAAGGGAGAATAGCGACATAGGAAAGGAAAGCGCTGTGATTTCCCGCTTCGCCTCAGCTGTGCGTGTCCTCAGACCTGGCTTTCTGGTGTTCAGATTCAGCCTTGCACCACAAATACCCATGCGCCCAGCCTTTGTGGCTCCTTAATGCATATGTATAACCGTGTCTTGAGTTTTGGCACACTATCTACACTGTCTTCTCATTTTTTTCCTCCCAATTTTCCTGTATGTTGTTAAACTGAACTAGTTGGATAAATTCTAATAAAACACTTTTCTCACTTGAAACAGCTAAATCTTAAAAAGAAATGATAGTGATAAATAGTCTCTGAAGGATAGTGAACTAAGCATGTAGCTAATCCTTAGGTGGTGACATTTTTGTATCATTGTTGGTAGAATGTGCCAGTTTGACTTACTATTATTATTATTATTGATAGTGATGCCAGTATCTACCTGTGTAGTCTGTTATGACAGCTAACCAGGTGTCTTTGTTAGGGTTTCTAATTGCTGCAATGAAACACCATGACCAAAAAGCAGTTGGGGAGGAAAGGGTTCATTTGGCTTACACTTCAGCATTGCTGTTCATCACTGAAGGAAGCTGGGACAGAAACTCGAACAGGGCAGGATCCTGGAGGCAGGAGCTGATGCAGAGGCCAGGGAGGATGCTGCTTACTGGCTTGCTTCCCATGGCTTGCTCAGCCCACCTTCTTTTAGAACCCAGACCACCAGCCCAGGGATGGCACCATCCACCATGGGCCAAACACTCCCCCATCAATCACTAATTGAGAAAATGCCTAAGAGCTGGATCTCATTGAGGCATTTCCTCAGCTGAGGCTCCTTCCTCTGATGTCTCTAGCTTGTGTCAAGTTGACACACAAAACCAGCCAATACACCAGAGAACTATGGCTTAACAGTTAGGACTCTGGTTCATTGAACTTTATGGAAAGTCAGTGGCTTCTCTATGATCAATACTTCTCAGTGCTTCTGTCTACCATGTTGTCTTTGAAAATGGAATATGAGTTTCAATAGAATAGATGTGAAAACTCTTTGAAAGAGTACTGTGCAAACTTAAGATACTTTATTCTACATTTAATATACATATATTTAGTGTCTTAGTTTGGCTTCTGTTGCTGTTATAAACACCATGACCAAAAGTAACCTAGGGAGGACAGGGTTTATTTGGCTTACAGGTTCCAGTCCATCGTCAATGGACTGAAGCCAAAGCAGGAACCTGGAGGCAGGAACTGAAAGCAGAGACATGGAGGAATGCCACTTCGGGCTTCTCCTCCTGACTTGCTCAGTTTGCTTTCTTAAACAACCTGGGACCACCTGCCTACAGTAGGTTGAACTGCCCACAGTAGGCCAGGCCCACCTCACCCCAATCTATCATCATTTAAGAAGCTAATCCATCATGGCTCATGCCTTTAATCTCAGCACTCAGGAGGCAGAGGCAGCTAGATCTCTGTGAGTTCGAGGCCAGTCTGGTCTACAAAGAGAGTTACAGGGCTACACACAGAGAAACCCTGTCTCAGGAGGAAAAAGAAAAAGATAAAGGAAAAGAATTGGTCCCACAGGCTAATCTGATGGAAGCATTTTCTCAACTGAAGTTCCTTCTTCTCTAATGACTCTAGATTGTGTCAACATTGACAAAATATCCAACCACACATGTAGTTACTGTGTTTTCTTGAATGCTAGAGTGGAGAACCTAGCTTCAGTGGCAGTTAAGGTTTGAAAATATAAGTACAGCATAAGGTTGCATACTTTATGCATAAGTAGAATTACTGAGCTTTTTGATTGAGATAGGCTGCAAAGTTCAATTAACATACTCATTTAATGACATTTAGTTGTCTAATGGACAACTCATAGTAGCACTGTAGCACGTCAAACCAGGTCTATTGACAATAAATTATGTAAGATTTTATCAGAGAACCAATTAGTTTGACTTTTTTGTTTCATATTTAGAATAATTTTTATTTCCCCACTATGAAGCTGGATATGAAAAAATTACAATTATTTCTTTTATATGCATGAGTATTTTGCCTGAGTGCATGTATTTACATCATGTTCATGCTTGGTGCCTGTGGAGGTCAGAAGAGGGCATCAGATCCCGTGGAACTGGAGTTATGGGCAGTTGTGAGCTGCCGTGTGTGTACTGGGAACTGAACCCGAGCCCTTGGCAAGAGCAGCCAGTGCTCTTAACCTACTGAGCCATCTCTCCAGCCCTTGAAACCGGACATTTAAAGTTACATTCTTGTCTTGGTATTTGAAAAGGGAGTATTTTTGCATTTGTACTATAATTGTCACTCATTCTCAGTCTTGTCACTTGATGGCCTTTTTGAAACATAGTCAATGATTAAGATCAACCAGAACATGCTCTGTAGTTAGGCAGCTGTGTCTAGTTATCTACCAAGTTCAAATGTATGTTGCTTTTTCCGTTGTCTTTGTAGTCTGTTGCATCTGCTGACATGGATTTCAACCAGTTAGAGGCCTTCTTGACTGCTCAGACCAAAAAGCAAGGTGGCATCACCTGTGAGCAAGCTGCAGTCATTTCCAAGTTTTGGAAGAGCCATAAGTCAAGAATCCGAGAGAGCCTCCTGAACCAGAGCCGCTGGGACAACGGACTGCGGGGCCTGAGCTGGAGAGTCGATGGCAAGTCGCAGTCGAGGCACTCGGCTCAAATACACACCCCTGCTGCCATTGTAGAGCTGGAATTCGGGAAAAGTGGACAGGTGAGCTCAACTTCAGTTCCCTTTGTAAAGGTTGCATTTTCATTACTCATTAGTTCATACGTTTATTTTACTTTTGTTTACAGTGTTTGCACATACACTAATCCTAAGGTCATTTTCAGGGGTAGAATCACGTGAAAATTTGGATATTCTCAGTTACAGACAGTCTAAAAAGCGGCCCAGTGCTCTTGCAGCTGTCTGAGAGCAGACCTGGGCGGGCACGGAGGCTGGCAGTGCAGACAGACTCTCCTGTTAGCTGTGTGCTCATCTGCTATGGAGGTAGTGTCCTTAATACCTCAGCCATGGCAGTGTTTGTTCCTAAAGACGCAGCGTGCCGTCTCTGACCTTAGCTCACAATAATTTTCAATATGATCTTATTGTGACCAGTGCTGCTTTTCTTTGAATTTCTAGTCATTTCAACAGGTGACTTTAGTGTCCGTGGTTTTTCTTAAAGCTACTCAGTCTCTGCTCCAGATGCTGAATTAGACTCCCAGTGACCTGGCTCATACTTTCTGAGGGGGGAAGAGTGGAAAGAAACTGGTAATTAGAGACTGTCCAGACCACTGAGTTAATTATATTTATTTTCCGATAAATAATCCAATAAGTGCTTTCATTATATCCTCTACTAGAAATGTGTTTCTTTTCTTAATGATAAACATAGTCCCTTTAGCTGGCAGTTTTCTTTACATCACTGTTCGTTAGATTTTTTTTCAATGTAATTCCATACTGACTTTAATTTTAAAACTTTTTGTTAATTAAAAAAATTAGAATGTTGCTGAGTGGTAGTGGCATATGCCTTTAATCCCAGCACTTGGGAGGCAGAGGCAGGAGGATCTCTGTGAGTTTGAGGCCAGCCTGGTCTACAAAGTGAGTTCTAGGAGAGCCGGAGCTACACAGAGAAACCCTGTTTCAAAAAACAAAAACAGAACAAAACAAAAATTAAAATGTCCTTTATTCAGTTAGTATAAAATAGTACTAATTGCAGCAGTGGACTGGGTTTATTTCATTCTGCAGTCTATTCAGTTAATCATCACGCTCTATAGTGCATATGCACACAGACCCAGACACACACACACACACACACACACACACACACACACACACACACACACAATTATATGCTTCCTAAATTAAACATGTGACAGATTAGGAAGGTATGATAGGGTCTGGTGAAATAATTCAGTAGGTAAAGGTAAGGTGCTGGCTGCCACACCTGATAACCTGAATTTGATCTCTGGGACTCACCGATGGAGGAGAAAAGTTGACCTCTGACCTTCACACAGGTGCCAAGGATATGCATGCTCTGCCCCAATACAAAATAAGTAAAAATGTAATTAAAAAATTAAAGAGAGGTATAACAATTAGACTTGGATATCTGAGTTTTTCTGGTATCTGTATATACTGTTTACTTTTTTTTCTGAGACAGGGTTTCTCTGTGTGTGGCCATGGCTGTCCTGGAACTACCTTTGTAGATCAGGCTGGCCTAGAACTCAGAGATCTGCCTTAGGCTGTTTACTTTTTATTCTGACAATATACACATCCTTCAGTGTCACTAAGAGGATTAATTTTAGGATACCATGTCCCTGCACAGATACCAAAACCCATGCTCAATTCCTTTATATAAAATTATAATATTTGCATATAACCTACATATATCCCCATTTATTTTTAAATAATTCTAGATTACTTATAATTCCTAAAACAATGTAAATTCTATATAAATTATTGTTATACTGAATTGTTAGGGAATTATAACAAAAGAAAGCCTGAACATGTTAAATATATTTTGTCAGAGTATTTTTAATTTGTGGTAGGTTTTAATCTTTAGATATGGAACCTGCCAGTAGGAGAACTTGGTTGTATTTCATGTTGTCTTTAAGTACTTAATACATGGTCAGAGATATGTGAATATACATTTCTATTTCAGGAATCTTAGGAAATTATTATGATATTTCTTTAACCTAGTATTTTCCTAATACTTCTTGAGCTAAGATTATAATATGCATTTTTAATTTTAGTATAATAGTTTGCAAACCATGCAGTAAAAAGAAAGAAGCTTTGATACACAGAACAAAATAGCTGAATCTGAAAATATTTACTAGGTAGAGACACAAAAATGATATATGACTCTGTTTACATAAAATTCTAGAGAATGCCAGTGATATAAAATGATAGAAGCAAGGCAATCACTTTTTAAAAAGATTTATTTTTATTGCTTTTACTTGTGTCTTTGTATATATAAGCCAGGTGTGTGTGGGTGCCTAAGGAGGCCAGAGAGGTTTTCAGATCCTCTGGACCTGGAGTTAAAGGTGGTTCTGAGCTGCTGATGTGGTTGCTAGGAATCAAACTCAGGTCCTCTAGAAGAGTAGCCAGTGCTCTTAACCCCTGAGCCATCTCTCCAGCCCCAAAACAATGATTTTTAAGATGTAGACTTCAAAGCAGTCCCTTAGGACTGCTTAGATTCTGTGTTTTAGTATGTTGTATTTTCATTTGATTCTAGGAATTTTTTTAAACATATTATAAAATATTTATTTAATAAAAATTTTGTAGAACACTGTATACATAATATTGTGTAGTTTAAAAAAGTAATTTTGTAATCTAACATAACTTAATAAAAAGTACAACAAATTGTTTTCACTTCTTTGCAAACCTTTATACAGTACAACTAACATGCCGGGTCCAGAATTCTATAAATACGGCCATGTGGTGAGATGCAAACACATGGTTTTATTTAAATAGGTAAATAAAAAGGATGAGACTGGGTGCTATAAACTTTGAATTCAATTCCAGGGAAATGTTGCTTTGGTAATGTGAACAATTTGATTGTACTGCAATGCATGCTATTTTAAAAAATAATAAATCCCTCAAATACAGCGCCTTTCTTGTTTCTGACTAACCAGTTCCCCGTAGAGCAACAGGGTGATGCTTTTGTTCTTGATGGCAACTGAGTAAAGAAAGCATTGGCCTGGTGAGCTCCCACCCAAATGGACCATGTAGATTTGGTCCAGGCTTGGGTTTGCCTTGTGTTTGCCACCCTTTCCCACAGTGTGGCACTGGGCACACTTGTGAGAAAAGTCTTCTTGCTTTTCTCAACAGCATCCATTTATTTATTTATATTTTTTGGTTTTTTGAGGTAGGGTTTCATTGGGTAGCCTTGGTTGCCCTAGAACTCACTCTTGTAGACCAGGCTGGCCTTGAACTCACAGAGATCCACCTGCCTCTGTCTCCTGAGTGCTGGGATTAAAGGTGTGCGGCACCACCGCCTGGCTTAACAGCCTCCGTTTTTAATTTGCTCTCCCAGCACTAACACAGTGTATTACTGCCAAAAGCTGGCCATTCTGCTTGCTAGCCTAGAAATGCAATGTCCTTTTTTTAAAAATTTATTTATTATGTTATATATGTATGCCTGTAGACCAGAAGAGGGCGCCAGATCTCATTGCAGATGGTTGGGAGCCACCATGTGGTTGCTGGGAATGGTTGTGGGTCCTGGGTTGAACTCAGGACCTTTGGAAGAGCAGCCAGGGCTCTGAACCTCTGAGCCATCTCTCCAGCCCCCATTTTGTTGTTTTTATAATGCTTGATATTTTCCTCATATCTCCTTGCTTCCTTATTGAGTAGTGTAGTTCATTGGTCCCCATGTCTTGTGGATGTTTTTATTCTCCTCTTCAGTGTGTAGGATTCCTTCCAGTAGCCTCTGTGGTTCTGGATTAGTTTGTGTTTATCACGGAGACTTTTTTCTCTCCAGTTGTGAAGAGAAAAAGAGCCATCTGTTGGATGAGGTAGCTGGCAGTTGTTTTTCCGAGTTTGAAACACCGTTCAGCCCTCCTGACTTGTAGATTTCCTGTGGGGAAATGGGCTGCTGTTCTGATGGCTTTGCCTTTGCAGGTGATTTGGTGCCTTTCTCTTACGATTTTCAATATTCTTTGTTCTGTGTGATGTTTAACTGTAGTATGGCATGATATTGTTTGTTTGGCATTCTAAATGCCTCCTCTATCTGGGTGACCATCTCTTCCCCTATATTTGGGAAATGTCTGCTATAATTTTGTTAAATGTATTTTCTGTACCTTTGACTTAAATAACTTCTCCCGCTGTCTTTTCGTCATGCTTCATAAATCTCATACATTCTCTGTCATTTCTTGCTTTTGTGGTATAGGAATTTGAACCCAGGACATACATGCTAAGTAAGCACTCAACCACTCAGCCATATCCCAGCCTTCTCCTCTTTTGTACGTTCTGTTTTTGAGGTAGCATTTCAGAAAGTTGCCTTGGCTTGCCTTAAGTTTCTGTGAGCCCAGATAGGTTTTGAACTTGTGATCCCCTGCCTCTGCCTCCCGAATAGCCGATATTACAGCCAATCAGATATGCCACTATGAAGTGCAGTGTGAGCCAATTAAGAACGGTCACCTCTTCAATTGCAGTGACTGTTGAAGGAGCAAAGAAACAAAGGTAGAATGGCATGTCATCTCTCACTGTTTCTCTGCAGGCCCTCCTGTGGGGTTGGGGTGCTGGGCATCTCTCTGCTTGGCCCGCTTCAGGCTACAGTTCAGGCGAGATTCAGACCTTCTGTAAGACTGCTCGGTCCTCATGAGATTTCGTCTCTAGTTAGAGGTATTCTGCAGGTTAGGACTCGGACACTTGCTGTGGATTTCCAGAGTGAACTATGTAGGGAGGGATGTTTGCCTCTAGATTTCACCACTGCTGACTTAGCAGGGGTCTTTGAAGAACGACTTTGTAGAGCTGGAGAGATGGGTCAGCGGTTAAGGGCACTCACTACCTGCTCTTCCAGAGGACCCAAGTTTGATTTCCAACACCCAGATGGTGGCTCACAACTATTGGTTAACTCCAGTTCGAGGGGATCCATTGCCCTCTTCTGGCCTCAGTGAGCACCAGGCCTGCATGTGGTGCACAGACATGCCTGAAGGCAAAACACCCATCACATAAAATCAAAAAGAAAAAAAGGAATGGCTTCGTACCTGGACATGCCTATAATCCCAGCGTTTCAG